TTGGTAAAACCCTCCAGCAAAGCTGCGCTACTCCTAAGCAAGATAAAAGGAGAAATCCAAATTCAAAGTATAGAGTTGATGAGTTGAATGAGTCTCTTCCTCGCCTACCTGGTATTCACACACTGGGCTTTGGCAAGCGTTTTTTTTTTTTTTTTTTTTTTTTTTTTTAATTTTCATTGATTTGAGTCGTTGATCTAAATTTGATCAACTGCTCAGATTTAACCGCACAACCGCACGGGAAGCTATACCCGCACCTGAACCCTTCCATATATATATATATATATATATATATATATATATATATATATATATATATATATATATATATATATATATATATATATATATATATATATATATATATATATATATATATATATATATATAATCTACAAATCTAGTAAGAGCCAATAAAGTTAGGCCATTAAGTGAACAAAAAAATATTGGTGTAATTGTTTGTTGAAATGAACCATTCATATTATTTTGATTTTAGTTTTTTTTTAATGATTTTCCTTATTTAACCTTTCATATTATTTTCTTCTCTTAAATAATTTCGTTAGTATAAACTTTAGTAACGGAATATTTCGTTAACTATTTATTATTTTTAACTTACTCATTAATTTCTATAAGAAAGATCTTAGGTTCAAACCACATCTCAATCAGAGTTGGCATAATTGTTAAACATATACTAAGGATATGTTAAAATGTATTAAAAAATACAATATAAAATTTAACATAAACTTTGGTCAAATGATTAGCCCGACTAAATACAAAGCATCAAATATTATAAATCAGGAACCTTGAAAATCATTTTCTTTCATTTAAAAAAAATTTTAGGTTAAGTTTTGTTTTTTTTTTTTTTTTTTTTTTTGTTTTTTTGTTTTTTGTTTTTTTTTTTTTGTTTTCATTTAATTAATCTTCTTTTGATCATTTAGAACAAGATTCAATATTTCAATTATGCTTTTGCATTATTGGAATGATTTAGGTCATTATGTTATTAATATTTTTTGTATGTATTTCTATAATGGTACAATTGTACATTATTTTGAAAATATTGTACTATTTTTTTTATCGGACAAAATTGTTCTTACATCATTGCCAGACGTGCGCAATCTAACTAAGTTATTGGTCAAAAATACAACTACACTTAGACTAAAATGGTATGACCATTTTTCAAAGAATTGACAATGTTGACATCACACTAGCTCCAATTGAACATGTTTACACATCATTCTCAAAATTTTATCAATGCATGAAAACTTGTAAAGAAATTTGTACGTTAATTTTTACTATATCATTAGAACAATGTCTATTGTAATCATATATTTCGAATTATTTATTATCATCCTCTATTGATAACAATTGTTATTGACAAACTCCCAAAACAATTTGTCTCACCAATATATGAATGGAAATAAAAAAATCAATGACTTAATTGTTGTGGATGAAAAGTAAGTACGACACTTTATTACTCTTATTAAATTTAAAAAACTAGTAGCTACAACAAAAAATAATACATTTGCATTTAATTAATTTAGAATTAGATGTCTATAATGCCTTCATTCAAAAAATTTATTCAATATAAAAAAAATTATAAAGATATATAATTTCATTAGTTATATTATCTTTATTTTCTACAATTCAAATAATCCTTACTTTCAAATTCATTAATTAATTATATTCACTACATTGTCCATTGTCTTCGTTTTGCACTATCTTATAATTAAATATCAAAGTTATAATACAAAATATGTTATATATTTTTTTACCAAGTATTTTATACAAATATAATAAATATTAATATTTTGTTCAATACTTTCACATGGTAATCTACGACACACATCTCACAACACATGAAACATATAGGGGAAAAAACTATCACTGCCAAATATCAACAAGCGCTTGCAAGATAAAGAGTTCATAGTACAACTAAGATCCAGTCATATACACAACAAAGCAAATCTAAAACTTCCTTCACCATAATCTCATTGCATGACGCTGCCTTCTATGCTACCACCAGTAACCTATTTGCACATGACACACTACCAATAAATAAGAAGTGGACAAGTACTGAAGAAGAAGACAATGACACTGCTACCAAAAAGAGAATTAAGAAAACTTAGAGAAATTTAAACCAAAACTAATATTTATTTAGACTAAGTATTTAGACTAGCGTTATTATAAAGTTACAAACATTTATTTTAGTGACATTTATAATCAATCTCTCCCATATTGTATTGCATTTATATACTTTGAGTTAGTGATTTAAATAAACAAATTCAACATTCAATTACCTATGCATGAACATCTCCTATATAATCGTACATTGATATACTTTGAACTACTTATTTAAAAATAATCATTAGGCATTATCATAACTAGTAATAATAATTGAATAAGAGTCAATGAACTAAAAAATGTTGGTTCAATTGTTTGTTGGAATGAATGATTCATATTATTTTGATTTTAGTATTTTTTTTGGTAGGAACACTTTGTTACTAGATTTTGATGATACCAAGCTTAGGAGTTTAGATCCCCCAATTCGTTTTCTGACTTAGACTTAGGTCGAGTTCTTCTGTGTTCGAATCGTTATTCGAATCATTAACCTGATTGAACAAAATATAACACTCGTGAAACTTAATGTCTCTAAATAAGAAGACTACCCAAGATGACAACCCTCAAACGAATCATAGATAACAAATCGAGACATAACCCAAGAGGTTACCTCTCAATGATTTGTTACAAGAGATGAAAATCTGAAGACCTGAAGACTTGAAGACTCGAAGACGAAGGACGAGAGGTTACGAAAGACCATATCATGGAAGGGCCTACCTCTTGTGTTAATAAGGGTGAAAGATAAAGGAAAATCATTCAAAGTATTATGGGACAATTGGTAAAGTCAACGAATCGTGTTTGAGTGTTTAAAAGGCTCGAGTCGTTGGCACAACCAACAACTCGATAAGACAAGCCAGAGACATTCTTTGTATGAGAATAGTTTGAAACCTTAATTGTGGGAAAATATCTCCAGGACAAAATGAGTCCTAGGAACAAATCTCAAGTCAACTTTCATTTAATGCCATGTCCTTTGTGCAGTGCTAAAAGACAATTGCTCAGTGCACTTCATGGACCCAATAGCTGGAAAGTATTGACACTCACATGCACTGAAATTACCCAGCGGTCTCTACTCATTGGTCAATATGGGTTTTGAATTTTTTTTCCTTCCAACGGGACAAATTTTCACCTCTATAAATACCTCCTTCTACAGAATGAGGTGTTGGTTTTTGGAAAATTTTCTAACTGCAAGAAAAGCTTTGAGAAACGTTAAGCAACTAGTGACCAGTTGAAAAAGAAAAATACGCAAAATTCTTAATCCAGATTTTCAAGAAGACTTGTGGTGCTTCAAGATTCACATCCAGACCTCAAGCCAAGCCTCTCAGTTAGAGGAAGAAGAAATTCATATCTTCATCTTATTCCCTCTACTTGAGTAGTAGATAGCGACGGAGTAGAGTTGGATGAAGTCGAAAAAGGCAGGCCCGGGATCGATTCCCATCCCAAGCGTGGGTTGAAATATCGTTGATAAAAATGATCCTGGGCCCTACACTGCACCCTGGGCATGGAGCCCTGAGCCCCCCCCCCCCTCCCCCCGCCTTAGGCCTTGAGCCCCCCTGAACCCTAAGCATAACTCGGATTGTGGTGCGCTTGGTACTTGGGCACCACCGGAACAGGATTACAAGGTCCCGAGAAGCTCTGCGAGACGTGCCGGAACCGGATTGTGGTGCGCTTGGTACTTGGGCACCACCGGAACAGGATTACAGGGTCCCGAGAAGCGCTGCGAGACGTGCCGGAATCGGGATGAACCAAAGCGACCGCAGGAGCCATCAAATCGTTTATTTTATTTTCTTTTAAGATGAAAAATATATGTATAGACGGCGGTTCCTTGGTGAAAAATATATGTATAGACGGCGTTTCCTCAAGACAACCGCCGTCTATACATATGTATAGACGGCGGTTCTTACATTGAACCGCCGTCTATACATATGAATAGACGACGGTTCTTACAATATATGTATAGACGTCGGTTCCTTGGTGAAAAATATATGTATAGACGGCGGTTCCTCAAGACAACCACCGTCTATACATATGTATAGACGGCGGTTCTTACATTGAACCGCCGTCTATTCATATGTATTGACGGCGGTTCTTACATGGAACCGCCGTCTATTCATATGTATAGACGGCGGTTCTTATATTGAACCGCTGTCTATACATATGAATAGACAGCGGTTCCTCAAGAAAAGCGCCGTCTATACATATAATTGTTGAGATTACACGACATACATCGTGAGATTAGACGGCGGTTAGCAACCGCCGTGTTTTAGAAGTATACACGGCGGTTCAAATAACCGCCGTAGAAAGTTTTTATTTACAAAGGCGGTCACTTACACGGCACTTCAAGAACCGCCGTGTACTTATAAAAATAACCGCCGTGGTAAGTGTGTTTTGTAGTAGTGATTGCAAGATTGTGTCCAACTTTGTGTTAAAGAGCAATCTTGTTAAATATTTATGATTGACACATATAACAATATAATAATAATAAGAATGGAACACAACTGCCCATCATAAATTTTTAACTTATGATTCTAGCTTATATAATAATAATAATAATAATAATAATAATAATAATAATAATAACTTTAATAATAAGAGCCAAAGAGCCAATATTGTTAGACCCTTAACGGGAACTAAAAAAAATATCAGTACGACACATGCTTTAAAGAATTGAACTTTGTACCTTTCTAATTATACAATGCCAACTTAAAATCCTAATATAACCTCAGTCTTCTTAATTTTACCAAATTTTCAACGTTAAATTTAACTATTCCGTCAAATGAAGTTGCGCGGTGGCAAAATTGAAGTTTACGTCAAATTTAATGGCAATTAAGAGAAGCATTATCGCCAAACAAATTTTAATGGCAATTAGGAGAAGCATTATCGCCGACCGCAAACAAATTAGGGTAGCAGTTCTGAGAAGCACTGCCGATCGCCGTCCGTAACTAAGGAGAATCAAACACAGGGCAATTAGGAGAAGCACAGCCGAAGAAACACAGCAAACAAATTAGTGCAGCAAAAGCGTCCTAAGGAGAATCAAAACTAAAGCGAAAGGAAATCTGATTTTGTCTCTTTGCGTCTGGTATGCAATTATGTACAGTTATGCAGAGATTGAATTACATCTATTTGAGAATTTTCCTTTTTTTTAGGTGGTGTGGGTGGTGTGTTGGATTTTTGGTTGGAGCTTTATCATTCCACTTGTTTTTGCTTTCTGTTCCATTTATCAAACAAAGAGTGCTTCTTTTTCCTTGTAGTCTTCTATTCTTTGAGCCTTTGATTTGGTTGGGTACTTGGGTTGAGGTGAAGTGATTTCTCTGCAACTTTTTTGTTGTTTTTTGGTGTTGGTTGCATTCATGCTATGATATTGATTATTGAGTAATTGTGTCTTGCTAAGGAAAGGAATTCAGGCCTTGTGCTTTACTCTGTAGAAATGTTCTTGATTCCTGGGTTATTGTTATTTTTGGATGAGGGAGAGAAACCCGCAGCTACATTGGCTTGAATGGGTTGCTACTGAGTTTATCGGTTGATTTGGAGCAATCTGAGTATGTTGAGTGGTGGCTGGGTGAGCTAATGAAATTAATTGAATGAAGAAGATGGTCTTCCTAGCTTGGTGGACCATTGGAATAATTGATTTACATAATGGGATTGTTTGGTAGAGTTCTGGCATTGCTAATGGGATGAGCTACTGGAAAATTGTTGGCTTTGACTTTAATTTGCTTTGCTTTCCATTGTGGTGATGTAAATGCACCTTGGTGAGTGTGATATTAATACTGATTTTGCCATTTTTCAATCAGTAGTTATGTATTCTAACATGCTTTTTTGGTTTCCATTTTTTTTGTTCTCTAGCTTGGGGAGCTCATTTCTGCGCACAAGAGATTCATCTCTACATTGGGAGTCCTAGCTCCAAGATGTTGTTGGTGAGAGTTGAACCCAAAGTACTGACTTTAGGTCAAGTGCTCGACCACTTGAGCTAGCCCACGGGACTTACTATTGTTTGTTTATCTGCACATAAAGTGTACTGACTTTAGGTCAGGTGTTCGACCACTGTACTTGAGCAAGCCTGTAGGGCTTACTATTGTTTGTTTATCTGCACATAAAGTTTTCTGAAAACCTACTTCAATACAAGGTATCTTTGCCATTCTCTAGATGCAAGAATTTTGCATCTGCACTTGTTCTTGTTATTCTTTAAAATTTAAACAAGCTAGCTGGCCTTAAGGTTGTGCTGTTTTTCCGATTTACCTACACGTCATCACTCTTCTGCCTGTATGTAGAGATTTAGCCATTCAACTACTATAACTATCATCTAGGGGAGGCAATAATATGTTTAAGGCATAATTTAACTTAAAGATAGAGATAATGCTTTCAGGCATTTATTGAGGAAGTAATGGAGCTAACTCCACTGAGAGGAGGATTGGCTGCAATTCTTGAAGTTGACAGATAGATTATCAACAAAGCAAAGAAAATGGTTCACTATTATGGATGAGCCTATATGAGGGTAGGATGCAGCAATTGTGATGAGGATTGTACTAAATTTTGTAAACACAGTCCCTTCCACTTGGTGTTGATTAGGTATCCCTAGAAGAATAATGTTATATAAAGAAAATCAAGTCCCGACGAGAAAAGATTAGGTATCCCTAGAAGAATACCGCGTTACACTATCATATATGTCGTTACCTAATCTTTTCTCCCCTTAATGGTTCAGAAAGGTTTGTTTCTTTGTGTGTGTTTCCAAATGCATCACTCATGGGAAATCTGCAATAATTATTATGTTTGACTTACAAAAATGTTCCACCATGATCACTGCAGGTTAATTGGTTAACCTTCCCATTATTATTTTTTGTCCACTAAATAGTTTGATTGCTATTTGCCCTTCTAATCCTTCTTTTCTATAATCTTCCAACAGAGTTTACCAGAGGTGATGATGCAAAGAACAGACAACTCAAGACTTCTGCTAAGAACTTTGAGAAGCCATTATATTCTTGTATCTTACCATCCAGGATAACATGCATTCAATTATTTGCTTCAATTCATTTCTTAAACTTGTCAGGGATATGATGATATGTCAATCTTCAATTCATTTCTGTGGAGCCACCAGCGAGAGCAAGACCACTTTTTTCCATCCCAGTGTCACACTCTATCTGGGCTGTCTGTCTGTCTATGTTTTGTTTTAAGGTTTTCCAGTGATTATTGTTTTTTTTACTGACTTGTCACAAATGAGTGACACTTGAGTAATTTCATGTTTACTGTATGTTTAGCTAGGCATGAAGCTGAGCTCCAAGAAGCTGCTCCTAATAATTTCCCACTTTCTTGATGTTTCTCTGTATGTTTTCCGAGCCTAAAAAAACGCGCACTAAGAAAAATTAATTTACTATGCTGAAGTTACTCTTTTCATGATAGATATAGTTAGCTTTAGTTAGTGGTTTCTTTGTTTTTACTTTAGTTATAATTTAGCTATTTCGAATTTATTTATCTTTTTATTCAAATATAAGCACAAAGACAATTTCTTTCTCTTTTATTAATTTCATATTCATCTCTCTCATTATTATATGAATACTTTAACCAATTAAACAATACTAATTTATAAATACACATTGAGCATTGGTATAATCGCACAAAGCGCGTGTACTAACTAGTGTTACTTATGCGCGTCTTATTTGTTTGTATCTAATGTTATACCCTATTTGATTTTCTATTGTCTAGACTTACTCACATAAGTATCTTGAACTGTTGAGTTTAATTCTATGTTTGAGTCTTTATTTAGTTGTCTTTGAACGAAAGTGAATTTTATATTATAAAAAAGTGGAGTATGTTATGAAAGTTACTTCACTTTCTTATGAAATGTTATCTATCTAGAGTTGTATAGTATATTTAGTTAATTTGACTATTTCTCTAATAACTGTTTACTACTTATCAAAGTCGTATATTTTAAATAAATGTTTTATCACAAAACTTATAATACTTTCTAAAACTATTTTGTAAAGTATATTTATTATCAAATTACAAACATATAGCACTTTCTAAAACTATTTTGTAAAGTATATTTATTATCAAATTACAAACTTATAGTACTTTCTAAAACTAGTTTGTAAAGTATATCTAGTTTCAAATACAAATGTAAGTATTTTAGGGGGTACCATTATGACTTATAGAATTATATTTCAAATTGTGTGTATTATAATTATGGTGCTTATTTTACTATATATATATATATATATATATATATATATATATATATATATATATATATATATATTATAAACCTATATCTATGGTGTCGAGTGAAACTATTTTACAAAGTTGAGTTAAAGTGTGGTTATTGTTACTTGGTGTGTGACTAGAGTCTCAATTGTTGTCTTTATGAAAACTCTATTCATGGTTTGGTGTGTGTACCACTTTTTGGAAAATGGTCCTAAATTCTATTTTTGGTTCGCTATGCGTACTGTTTTTGGTAAAATGGTATTCTCCTCTATTTTAGAAAACCTCTTGTTTTGGGGTGTGTTGCAAATGTAGAGTCACTCTCACCCTCTCTCTCCTTTTGAAAAATCTTCTCATTTGGTCAAATGTTGCCTTAAATATTTTTAAAAATCTTTTGAAAATGATTATTCTATGTCCTTATCTAAATGCTTTCTAAATTGTGGTTTATCCGAGTTTCATAACCTATTTGCAAAATATAAACTATTTTTAAACTAAAAATGTATTTATTTTACAGGGCAAAGTAAACCTTACTTAGAATTTTTATACTAATTCTATTACTTTCTGTTTTCTAAATCTTGATGTTGTTTTCATGACTGGAGTTTGAGACTAGCATGAGAGCGCGTTGTAGAGGCATAGTACCTCTTGGTTGGTAGTAGCTTAGTTGATTGTATAAGGTTGTAGTATTGTAGAGATGTTACTTTTAATTGTTTAATGTTTTAGAATTGTAGATTATTTCTTTGGGTTGTATAGTAATGTTGTTATTAGATAGAACCTTTAGCCTATGCGTTTGGGCTTGGTTGGTATCCCAAACGTGGCGGTAGCACCCTATGTGTATAAAATGTTTCTTTTAATCCACTTCCTCATCTAAATCCTCTTTTCAAACAAATAAATGTTTCTTATTTTAACCATTCCGGCTTTTAAAGTTGGGGGTGTTACAAGTTGGCTCGAGAGAAATAAAAGGTAAATCACACCATTTGCTTGCTTAGTTTGTGTGTAGAGATGAGTGTTCCCTTTGTGCTTTGTTCTTGACCATTTAGGGGTTTTTTTTTTTTTTTTTCTTTTTTCTTTTTTTAGTTGTTAGCAACACTTGTATTTAGATTTTGATGATACCAAATGATTAGGAATTTTAGTCCCGTATTTATTTTATTTTTAGGCTTAGAATTATTTCTACTCTAACTTCAAACATATGAATAGTAACTCGAGTAATCACAATTCAGTTAAACAAATCAATCCGAATGATAACTCAAAATGTTACATTTCGTTTAGTCTTTTCAAAACAGTCAAATGGTAAACCGAGTAGTTGCTTTCGAATAACTCGAGAAGAAGACTTGAATACGTGAAGACTGAAGATTTGAAGAGTTGAAGACCAAATGGTAAGGTCAACCATTTGTAACTGAAAGGTTACAAAGGTCGAATGATGGAAGGACCTACCTTTCGAAATATAAAGCGGACCGAATGATAAAGTCAATCACTCTTATCCGAGATGTCGTAAAGATTTAAGGTTCGAAGCATTAACCTAGTTAACCATTTGAAAGGATTGCTCGAGACATTCTTTGAGCTAACAGTTCGAAACCATAATGCCTTAGGTGAATGTGTCCAAGAGAAAATGTCTCCTAGGAACACATCATAAGAAAGATTTTTCCTTAAAAGCCAAGACATTTTGTGCAGAACAAAAAGATATGTTCAACGCAAAATAAGTCACTAACGGCTGAAAAATCTGACAACTCACCTACCCTCCAAATGACCCGCAGGTGTCTACCCACTGGTCAATAGATATTTGAAATTGATTTTCCTCCAACGAACCTTTTTCAACATGTCTATAAATACCCTCTTCTAAAACTGAAGAAGGTGGTTGATCTTTCAAATTTCCTAAGTGTTCAAAGCAAATCAAAGTTTCACATCTAGTGACCAGTGTGAGAAAGAGAGACAAAGCTCAAAAGCTCATATTCAGATTTCAATATACTTGTGCTGCTTTCATTCGTGAAGATCAAGACATCCAAAGCCAAGATCTCTTAGTTGGAGAAAGAAGAATCTTTTTCTTCAAACTTTGTAATCTCTAATTAGGAGTAGTAGAAAGAAGCGGAGTAAACTCAGAGGTGAGTTGAAAAACCTGATGGAGTTCAAGGCCGACTTTGTGTTCAAGGTTTGAACATCCGTATTGTATTAAGGGATAGTGCAATCCTCCTTAGGAGTTCCAATGAGAAGAGTGGAGTAGGTTGTGTTAGCCGAACCACTATAAAATCTCTCTCTCTTTCTCTCTCTCTCTCTCTCTCTCTCAACAAGATTAAAAGGGTTAAAATATATTTCTGCTATGCATACCCGATGAGACATTAAATCTACCTTTCGAGTACTTTAACAAATTGCAAAAGTTTTTAAAATCTTACAAGTCTATTCACCCCCCTCCCCCTCCCCCTCTAGACTTGTACTCTAACCTTACCGGGACCAACATTTGTTTCTTTAAATATTCCTTGAATTGAAAGAGCCACACCTTGTTTGCCATATTTGTTTGATAAGATGAGAGATATCATTCACTTAACTCTTTTGCATGATTTGATTGTTTTACCATTTGGATTCAGGAGCTTCTTCGAGCCATCTTTGGCACTTATTGTCGCGATTGATTGTTTGACTTGCTTGGGGACAAGCAAGGTTAAAGTGTAGAAACTTTTGATAAGTGTCAAAGATGAATCTCTATAAGGGTCATTTTGGAGTTATTTTGTGCTTGATTGAAGTCCTTTGTGCTCGATTTGGAAAGAAAATGATAAGAAATGGTTTTATTATATTCCAAGGACTAATGATAAGTACATTTTAGTGTTTTGAAGGATTTTGAAGCAAAGTGAAAGCATATATGCATGATTTGAGGCTATTTTGGAAGAGTGTGCAGCAGCAAGGCATCTGGGATGCTGCACGATTGTGGCGGTGAGCGCAAACTATTTAAAGGCCGGCGAAGTTGACTTTTAGGAAAAAAACTTAGACTTTAGTTTTACATCTTTTAGTCAGCTCAAAAACTCTTCCAATCTAGAGAGAAAGTAGTTCTAGAGTTTAAAGTAACTTGACAACTTGCTTTAATCTTAGAGCTATTTCTTCTTGATTAATTTGGATCACTTGTTGATTGATTGCTACATTGGTCTGAAGCTAAGTAATTCCTGCATTTTCTTCATTTATTTTCATCTTTCATCTTCATAGATTGCTTCAATTTTATGTGCTTTAAATCTATCTAGAACAATGAGTGACTAAAATTCCTTAGGGATTGGATTATCATATACTTGCATGGTGTTTGTCTGTTGTGAATTTCTAATTAGAAATGTACTTGTGTTGATTGTTTGATTTCATGATGAAAGTGAGAAGTTTTTTTGAATCTTTGGAGTTAGTGCCTAATTCCATGGATAATCTAGGAGTTAGTATGCTTGACAAGAGATTGCTAGCGTACTAGAGCATTGATTCCACTTAGATCTAAGACGGCAAAATCCAGAATGAGGTGTAGGCAAGGTGTTCGACGAAATGACTCATGAAGGTAGTAGCATTGTCACTTGGGTGCTCTACTAGCTCATGATCAGTGTTGCAAAAATCCTGCCTAGGCACCGATTAATCGGGCGCTAGCCGACCGCCTAGCGTATCACCAAAATCGATGGTCTAGGCGGCTGGCCGGCTAGGCTGCCAACTAGGCCACCTAAGCGCTACATAGGCCGCCTAGGCGCTGACCGCCTACACCTCCTGGGCGCCGACTAGGCCGCTAAACATTGATTAGGTCGCCTAGTCGCCCGATTAACTATTGTTCCCTTCTTTTTTAAATGGGCTATTTGACTCAAAACAACATGGTTTTATGCAAAATAACCCTAAATTGTTCAAACTCTAGATGTTTTTTAAGTTAATATTTAATATTTTAGTATTAACTATTAAAGTATTAAATAGTTTATAATTATTAAGTCTTAAATAATTAAAAAAATTTAAACAAATTTTTAAAAAATAAAAAAATACACAGGCGCTTAGGAACCGATTCATCACCGCCTAGGCGTTAGGTGTCCCCGAGCGCTTGAGGGCGCCTAGCGATTTTTTCAACCATGCTCACGATAGGCGAATAAGACCTAAAATAACATTGACATTAGCAGCACACCTCGCTTGAAATCCAATTAGCACATTCATACACTTCCTACCTTAGACACTTTAAAGCACCATTGCAAGG